CGGCATAAAGCTTGCGTCTCAAGCATGCCACAGACATGGTTAATTCCAACTTTGGTTCGATGCTACGGCGTTACCAGCACCACACCTTCACTGACAAGGGGGTTGGGGGCTAAAGAGACAAGACTCACCCTAAAGAGGGGGAGGGCGTTGCCTAGCTTCAGTGAGAGCAGAGCCGGCATGCAGTGGTTGAGAGCATCGACCGAGTCCCAGGAGTCGATATCCGTCTCGGTGAGATTGAGGCTGGAGACATTTTCGAAACATTTGACAGTCCTAGGGTCGTTGGGATCGGGTTTGGTGACGGAGGTGAGGGGATTGCCCAACAGCACCAGGTACTGCAGAGCCGGGAAGTGTCTGCCAAGGCAGCAGACGGCTGACCAGTTGGCGAGACGGTTGTCACTGAAGAAGAGGTGTGTCAGCTGGGGGAAAGTGGTGCTGGTGGAGCCGTTGGAGGAAGTGGAGTCCTCCTGTTCCTGCTCCTCCTCACAGCAGCAGCGATCGAAATCGTTCAACGCGACATGCAGCGTGTGGAGGCTACAAAGAGATCAGCATGAACAGGATGAAGGAGAGGTCTTCTGGGGTCAACTTTGGAGTTCCTCCGACACCTTAAAATCTCCCGGCAACGATTCCTTATCAGTAACAGCCCATTAGTAGCAAAACCCCACGTTTGTGTAATTCGGAAAAAAAGTGGAGCGTATAAAAGTAAAAGATAATAGGAATGATTATTTAAATAACCCAATGTGTGCCGCGCGGTAATTAAAATAGGAAATACGACCAATAGGAAACAAGAAGTCTGCAGAGTAAGAATGTCTTCCTCTCAGGACCGCCTAGGTCAGTGATAAAGCCACCCCGTACTCAGGCCATCATTAAAAACAGTTGAACAATTCAGAACTCCAGGCCCATCCCGCATTAAATTGAACAACAAAGAGATACAAATGCAAAGGATTATATAGACGTCTTCTGGTGTCATGAAATGGACTCATGAAATGTCAGAGTAAAAATTTGTCACGTACATTTTTTCCTCTTCTTCATTGGATCTGGTGAGTGTATTTGATGCTTAGAAAGTATTTTCGTAAAGAAAACTGAGTGAGGATACCTTTTAAGCAACACCTTAGTTTACAATACAAGACTACGTAGTTTAATGTAGTTTTAGGTTATTTTAATCTATTATTTAATTCTATTACTTTTAGTTGACTTTAGTTTGCAGTTTAGTTTTAGTAGCAACATACGGTTGCTTTTCGGCTGATCGTACCACAATATTTGTCTAAATGCATTAGAAGCTATTTTGAGTTTTTTTTAAAAATGCGGTAAAGGCCTACCTTTCATTGTTCTGCTTTAATCTCGAAAATTCTATGCAGAGTCGATATACGATTGTGGTCAATTCGTGGGTACCACTTACACAGTCCTCGTTTCCTATTGGTTTTATTTCTTATTTTAATTATCGCGACCTTTTTGTTGCAAAAGTAGGCAATTTAAATAACTATTCTAATTATTTACTACTTTTATACGCCCTACTTTTAAATTATGTTTTCGGTAAATAACTTTAAGAACTATCTTCTTTTAAGATTTTTGATGCTCACATCGAATATAACCCAAATTTATGAAAAAACTTGGAAACGTTGAAAATCGCGAAATAATCGCCAGAATTTAAAGGACGATCTGAAATCAGTTGTAACCGAATAACTGAAATACCTATAAAGTTATTTACCGAAAGGTAACTTATTTAAATGTACAGAGAATGATATGGTTAAGATTTAACCTGACAATTTCATTTACGTTTATGGGTTATAGTTACAGTACTTTGTTACGTTTTCGGAATTTGAGGCTTTCCTAAAGAAAAGTCAGTATTTCTTTAAAAAACAACATGGCATTCTATATTTGTTTCAAGTTTTTAATTCACCTAAGCCTCCAACGCCTCGGTTCTCGTTTCTGTACTGGTTTGCGAGCGCTTATGAAGTTTTCATAAATTTCGGCATTTTTCACAAGTTAGATCACATCTACAGGAAGCCGCCGCCGCAGACATGCGCCAGCAACCTCGAAGCTTACTCCAACTGAAGTGAAGCAACCACAGCATGATCACGTGCTAGTCCATCAACATGCCTGGCGACTAGGCGAATTCAAGTGGGTT